GGTCTACTTAGGTCCAAATCCATTGATTCCAAAGCCAAATGATAGCTAGGACATCAGGCTACATTTCATTAGAAGACCTCTACAACCAGTTCAGAAGTTTTCCTAGCCAAAATAGCTAATTACTGCAACAATTCCCAAGTTAGGATGAAACCAGAGCAGCAGGGGTAAATTCGACTTTTCTCACTCTACATTACTCCGATTGACCTGAAATTTTACAGACACCTCTAACACATCAATACCTACAACTTTCATGTTTTAAGCAAAGGCCAATTCGGCCTCTAACTATGCTAAACAGGGCCGGCCAGAATTGAAGGGTGTGACACCCTAACTTTTCCAAATTTCCTTTCAAACAAGAATTCCTTGCATTAAACCATCATTTACATTAACTAGCCTCATTCTATATCATTCCCCTTCATCTTACATGGCCACATAGACAACATCAAATTCAAATAGAAAAATCATAATAAAAAAATAAAATGTCACCATAAATCAACCCAAATCACAATATCACTCACAAAATGACATTTCCAACCCTTATAATTCACAACTTAACCATTATCAATGTAAAAGAGAACTTTCTTAAGCATCTTACCTCACAACTCAAGAAGACTAGCAATTCAAAGCTTCCCTTGCCAAAACACTCCACCCAAAAGCTTTAACCTTCCAAGAAGATCACTTGTATGGAGGGAATTAAAAATCCATTGGTGAAGTTTCAAGATTGAAGCAAAAATCAAAGATGGAGATTGAAGAGTTTTTCTCTCTTTGCTCTCAAAGCTCACGGCTGGACAAGAAGAGGAAATGAAGATATTTTGGTGAACCAAGGGGATAAGAAGGAAGAAACAGCCGGTCAAAGCTGCTGACCGGCTGTGTCACATCAGAATCCGGCCGGATTCTGGCCGGATTCCTGGCCGGATATGAGGCCGAGAGGAAACATTTTTTTTTTCAAAAACGCAGGGCAATCCGGCCAGCTATCCGGCCAGAAACTGGCCGGATTTCCGGCCGGATTTGGCCACTTCAGCTTTCCAAAATTTTTTTTTTTTTTTTTTCTTCCGAATTCGATTGTCGTGCTCAAACGTATTTCTACCACATACACATCCATACATATCTCATACATGATTGCACATATCCACGACCTTTCATACTTTAAACCAAAAGGGGTTGACAAATTTTCACTAAAATGGGGCAAAGAAAGTAAGCCAAAGGCCAAGAAAATTGAGGGAAGTTAGGGTTCTCACATGTAAGCAAATAAATTTTGACAAATAATCCTCTATCCAAGTATATATGATGATTTGGATCGTTCACAGCAATGCTGGCAGAACCAGAGGTTGGAGTTTGAGGGAGCAAAACTAATGATCAGGGGAAAAAAAATATATTAAGGGGCCGGGCAACCTTACATTTTTGCGGAATATTTCAGTGTAGAGTCTAATATTTACAGGTATATAAGTGAAAACTTTTAACTTTTAAGCTAACATAAATGATCTCGACAATTTTGGGAGGAGCAAAATTTAATTTTTACAACGCTATAAAAGATAACTATTAGTAATTTTTAAGGGAATATATTTCTGGAGTCTCCGGGGCAGCTGCCTGTCGCTGCCCCACCCCTTAATTTGTTTCTGCCAGTGATCACTAATTATTATTCCATCAGCATGCGTGGAGCTGAATAAACTACAAAGCATGGTTATCATAATAAAACTCGAGAGATCATCACGGTTTTAGATTTTGTACGGCTTATAAATATTTAAATTGGCAAATCTGATATGAATATCACGATGACAATGACCATGGGGCGTAATCACAGAACCCCTAACGTAATACGACAAGTTCGTGACACATTGTGAGCACCTATTTTAAAGTATCGAGTAGTTTAATTGCGATCGACGTTCAACTTTACTTCACGAGTTTTTTCAATAGATGTTCGATGAGAGGTGTTTAGTGAATGTAATTTACATTTAGGTTTTCATTTAAAGGCGGTCCTTTTGTATTTATCATTTCGTTGCATTCAGACGTTATTCAAAACTTAATCCAGTGTTGATATTCAGCAATTATCGAATTAACGTACCTCGATTAGATGATGAATAAATCTAGAAACGGATGATTTTACACAGTGTTTGATTGTTAATAGCATAACGAATGATTGCAGTCAAAATTGTAGTATTTTTTAACTAGACTAATGTGAACCATGAGATTTCTCTCATGTAAATTTTTATAAAGATATGTAAAAGTCTAATATTAAGCAATATTAACTAAAAGATACTCCAAGTTGTTTGTACTTCCCCTTTCTTGTATTTAATTTGACTTAATTATTACGTTGACTTTGTTCTTGCTTCTTATTAACCAGAAATAAGAGTCAGCTGCTTTAACGAACTACTAATAAATTAGTAGACGGTCAAAGTCCAAGTATTTGCTTTAAAGTTGTATTAATTGAGAAGAAGGTCATAATAATTATAAGAAGCAAAATTGGAAGGTGAAAGTTAAAGTATATGGGACACGTGCCAGAACGCGCATATGCGACGATTGCGCGTGCCTGTTGTGAGGTGCACATACGGTCAGGAGAGCTTTTTTTTTTTTTTTTTTTTTTTTTCAGAAATTTAGAAATAAGTAGTTAAACCTAACTCTCAAGTCCCAAGTCAGGAGTTCTGAATTTCTGCACATACGGTCAGGAGAGCTTTAACTATCTGAATTTCTGCTCTAATTCTTACTTCAAGTTCCACTTGCCAGAGGAGCATGTTACTTGGACGCTCCACCCACGCCCCTCTAACTCTCCATCATTCTTTTTTTTTTTTTTTTTTGATAATTCCTTCATAATTCCTGTCATATGATCCATTGCTCACATTTTGAGGGTTACAATCAAATCGAGTTATATATTTCTCAAGGTCACCGTCAAAATACTAGCTTTGCTTGAGATGTAGTACAAGATTCAAGATAAAAGGATTACACCATTTAAATAAAAGGCAATTTTTTCAATTGGTGCAACGCTCAGAATCCAATGAAAATTCTTTCAATTTTGAGGGGAATTGATCTAATGTTATTTAGTTAATTAAGAAGATTTGCAAATTGATTAAAAAGTATACTAGCTGAATCAATGCTTTTGACAGACATTATCTAATTAACTAGCCAAGAACAATTTTCTCATTGATAGACTTGAATATTATATATTTTATTCATACTGTGAAACTTGCATTTTATTAATTTTGGACGTCATTATGTATAATGCTGTTCGCTAGTACAAATTTTGTCAAAGAATCCATATATAACTCAAATACATATTTTCAACATTACTTACAAAAATCTTATCATTTATATTCCTATTTTCCCTTGTTGCTTTTGCTTTGCCCAAATTGTCAATTTTATTTTTGTTCACAAGGATATTCTTATTCAGACACGCATTATCTGAAACAATTAGTCTTGTCTTGTAAATAAAAATAGAAGAAATTAATGATTACCTCCTCTGTAATAACAAAAATCCTAAAATTAACGAAATGCTATTGATTTTAAACTTTTCTAATTAATCACTCATTTAAAATCTCAGGTCTCTTGTGTTTGTTCAAATAATAAACCAAACAATTTACAGAAAAATTAGTGAAATGGCATCAATCTAAATTATATTACCTGTGTTTATCAAGTTAGCATAAAAACTTATGTTTAGCTCTTTTATCACCTCCCTTTCTTTTTGTTCTTTTTCCGTCCTTGTTTTAAAAAAGAAAGTTCACATCTTGATAATGAACAAAATATTAACATTAATTATCAAATATTTACTATTGCTTGTCCATATAATTTTGAAGAAACAGTTGAGTGAAATGTTAAAATTGTCATATTGATCCTATTCTGATAATCTCCTCCGCATAATTTATGTTTCCCCAAACGAAGGTGGAAAACGGAAATGACTGGAGCGTGTGTGCACGGCTTAGATTAAAACAGTGGGGAACTTTCACCGCAAAACTAAGTGCAGTGGACATTGATGTGGCAAGAATCCATTGGTGCAGGCGTGCCCATCTTTCTTTAATCCCTCCCACGCTAATCCTATGTCACCCCACAGCAAAATACTGCCAAACAGAATGCCGACAAGTTTAGAGCGGCTGGGAAATGGTATGTGGTCATTTCATTTTTTTTACCAGTGATACTATTGTCCTTTACCCGTTAACTGTCACCATTATTACTACTACTACGAGTTAATGGGATGAATTGTCAAAAAGAAAATGTTAGGAAATATTCTCCCCGTCCCACTATCAATAGTCCTGTTTCTTTTTACACACAATTTAAAAAAAAGTAGTTAATTTTATTGAAAAAGTAAATTTAAATTGTTATTTTTCTAAAATACCCTCACATTAAATATGGTATAACTTTATGGGAACTTGAATTGATAGTAAAAAAAGAATCAACTCTCGTTAAATGGGGTAAGTTTATAGTAACAACTGCTTACATTGAATAAGGGTATTTTAAAAAAATTAAAATACAACTACATTCTTCAATTGGAAAGTAGATTACAGTTTGGAACAGATGAAAAAGAAATACAGGACTATTAAAGTGGGACGGAGGGAGTAACTTGCAGAACACCACAAATGCCTAGGGGCATTTTTCACAATTCTTTCATTAAAAAAAATGATTGAAAAATTATATTTATGATGCCAGTTGAATAATATTCAATTTTTTTTTTCACAGATTATGCTAATTATGTGGACCATTCACACTAGTTAAATAAGTTTGTCATAATACAGTAATATTTATTAGATAAGTGCAAATTCCACCCCTACTCCATTACTACTATTAGATTAGTAGTTGTTTGAACAGAGCATTAAAAAAGGCCGAGCACGGTTTGAAGTTTGAACATCGAAGTGGCAAGAAACAGGCCTCCCTCGAACCAACAGGCAAAGAAAGACAGTGGCATCAATCAATCAATCAAATAGTATAAGTAACTCGAACTTTGATGATTGAGCTTCCCCTTTGGCCCCTTTCACCATTAATGATAGGTGGTGGCTGTGGAGGTGGAACTGTTTTAGTCAATGGCCGGCGAAGAACCCGAAAAGGAGGATGGGGAGGAGGATGCAATAACAGTAACAGAGGCCTTATTACCTTGCCTGGATGGTGCGAAACTGGTTGATGCACCTATTCTTTTCTTTGTTCTTTCTCACAAGGCTTTTGTCAGGGAGCTTGAGCAGCTCCACCGCTCCGCCCTGGAGGTGGCTGACATTGGGTCCCCTGATCGCCAGTTTGTGGATGATCTTGGCCGGAGGTTTGACTTCTTTAAGCTTGTTTATAAGTACACGCTGCAGCGGAAGATGAGGTGAGGACTGAGGAGGTGTTTCTATTAATTTCTTTTCTCGTTTCTTTTTATTGAGCAAAATTATATTGTGGGATTTGTTGTCATTGAACAAATGGCGTGTGTTGTTTTCCCTTTTTGTTGTTGTATCATTACTTCATAAGAATGTCGGATGTGATTGTAGCACAGGGTTTTGGTTCTTTAGACAGGATTGAGGTGAAAATGTGGTGACTATGCTTGATTTTGGTAGTAGCTGTAAAGATTAAAACTTTAGTTTTTGGTGATGGAGAATCAATGTTTAGGATCCCAGGGGGGGCAATTTGATGTACTATCAAAAATGCCAATTAAGTTGCTTCAGCTCCTTCCCTGTTATTTTATCAGAAATGCCATCAGGTCATTAGGCAGAAATTCTCACATCATTGGCAATTAAGACGCAGGGTTTGCTTAAGGCTTCCCTCGAGAGTCCTCGAAACTGGCTTCTATATGACAATACTCGCCGAACGAACTTCAATTCCTTAACCTGGTAATAGAATGATTGGCGTAGCCGGTACAAGGAAATCGTAACAACATGGAAGATTTGAAACCATCTTCAATATAACGTCAAAGGATAGCATCAGGGCGTCCTCTATTACGCATTTAGTCCTCATTCCTAACCTATGTACCAAACTTACTGAGGCACACAAAGTTTCCCCAGAGGATTTAGACTATTTCAGTGTTTTGCTCACTTGTGAAATATTGGAAGAAAATTTACCAAAACATTTTAGATCTGTCCTGAAATGTATTGTCTTACTGAGAAGCTGAACACAATTTTGACTGGAAATATATTGAGCTAGATACAGCAAGCATCAAATAATGAGTACATTTCCCTTTCTTTTACTTTATTAGCACTAAGCTGGTGAGATTCTCCTGATCAACTTGATCTGTTTCTATTCTTTTTCCTTATCATGCAAGAAATAAATTTGTTAAACGTTGAGTTCATCAATTACTGTGGAAATTTTTATCTGAAATTTTTGGCAGATTGTATTTCCAGCTCTAAATAGCAAAGTAAAGAACGTGGTGACTACATCTGCATTAGAACATAAGTGCATCAATGATGACTTCTGCTCCACAGTCCAGTGCTTGGATCTTTTAAGAAAAGAGTGTGAAGATTTTACCCATCTGTTTCAAAAACTCATCTTCTGCATCAGCTCTATAAAGTCCGCTATCTGCGAGCATATGCTGAAGGAAGAAAAATTGGTATTTACTACTTCTCCTTTGTATACTTCCAATTTACATGTTGTTACTTCTCTGATTTTTATGCTTTGATCAACTGGATTCTGTTTCTCCTTGCTCTTTCCTTTTTCTTTTCCTTTCCTTCCACTATGATACTCCTACATTTTGAATTTCTGGAAATTATTAAACCATAAGCATAGTCACGCAAAATGACTCGCAATCGATACCATTCTAACCAAAAGATTGGCAAGGTCATACGAAATTTCTTCAGCATGGCTAGATTTAAGAAGGATAACGAGACATTCTCTTTGTTGTCTCCCATCAAAGAGAGCTCCAAACTCAGTTAGGACTTGAAACAAGAAAAAAAGAAGAACATATGTTTCACTACTCTCTCCCCATGCTCCTTGAGATCCATAGCAGAGATAAAATAGAAAATTTAGGCTATCTTTGGCTAAGATAAACCCCATTACAACTTGCTAATGGTCCACTTCATGCAGAACTTTGTGGGATACTCGACATGATGCAACCTAGCTGTATCTGAAAACATATATGAGAGCACACAACTTTATCAAGTAAGCCATAAAATAGGAAAGACCATCAAAATTAAACAGTAATTAAAACATGTTCTTTAGTATAAATGAAAATTAAAGGAGTACATAATTGGTGAGATGAAGATTATTTTATATTGCATTGGAGTTATGATGATGTTGTCTCTGAAAGGTATTTAAACAATTTTTGAATGCACTGACTTGTATGTGCATAATTTTAAAGAAAACCAGGAGGAAGTGATATGTGAGAATTATGCAATATCTGGGTGACTGATGAGACTTAAACACCATCTTCACCCCTTTTTAGCTGAGCCGATGCTTGATTTTAACCAACATAAAGAAATCTTAACATGATCTGCTGTCTTTATCTATGCTAAACTACATCCAGCTTAATATTCTTATATATTCAGACAAATGAAATGAAAGCTAAGGTAGAGTGTTTGAGTTGTGGGTTGCAGGAATAGATGGCCTCTGCAGAGTGTTATTTCGCTTGTTTTACTCTACTAGATGCAGTTTAATAATAGTTTTAATTTGAAGGTTCTTTTAGCCCCCAGAAAGTTTTTGACTAATCAACTTATCAGTAAATTAGTCTTATTACAGTCAAATATCTCAGTTCCTTGGTTTCTTGCAGCTGCAGTTTAACTACACTGAATTAGCCGCATAATGGTTGCAGGTTTTTCCTTTGCTGATAGGACAATTCCCTTCTGAAGAACAGGCTAAGCTTGTTTGGCAGTATATCTGCAGTGTTCCTATTGCTTTATTGGAAGATTTTCTGCCGTGGATGGCTTGTTCTCTTCCTCCAGATGAGCAACTAGACCTTCTGGATTGCATGAAGATTGTTGTATCCAAGGAGGAAGTGCTTGAAGAGGTAGACAATAACATTTAGCTTCAAGATCATAGTCTATAATCCCAACTTGATGTATTGATTTCCATCTTAAAGGTGGTCATCTCTTGGCTTAATAATAAGAAACCTTCTCCTCCTGAAGCCTGCAATGTCTATGGACAAGGAGCTCAATTTTACAGTGGACACGTTAGCTCCATGGAGATACTCAAGATACATCCAAATACATTTGATTTTGGTGAAGAAGAAAAATCAAAGCTCTGTTCCTTTTACACATCTATAGGACCAAACCCACTTGATGGCATTTACATTTGGAATACTGCTCTTGCAAGAGATTTCAGGAAAGTTCTGGATGAGTTATACCAAATAAGAAGCTCGAACAACATGTCAAACTTGTCTTCCATAGTAGTTCAGCTACAATTCCTTTTAGATGTCCTTATCTCCTACAGGTAACCTCCATATTAATTGATAGTTCCCAATAAGCAATTCTGCTCAATCAGGAGTGGTCTCCAAGTTATTGTTATATCTTCTTTAAATCAATTAGACCAAGAAGATAAGCTTAAGTTTGGATGTTGTTGGCTGTTCCAAAAGTATGTCAGTCCTTTGCTTCAAATATTCTACTCAGCAGCGTGAGAAGCTGTAGTAACTGTCACATGCAGTATATATTCTTTCTGAATTGAAGTTATGCTGAAATGCCCCATTTACCTCAGAGGCCTTTTTAGTTGCTGAAACTTTTCATGAAAAACAATGAGATGAAAATATTCTTTTGCATTGTGACAAAACTAAAATTGTTTGCTGAAGGTTTGACGCATGTTCAGAAATACCTTTTAATCTTCAATGACCAGATATTTTTCTAATACTAGAGTTTAATCTGCAGCAACGCATTGAATCAAATATTTTTTCCCCTGGTAAATGACCTTTCCAAGAATGTCCTACCATTATCTTGCACACGACTTGTGGAGAAAGGTCAAGTCGAAAGACTTCAATTCTTGCTGTACGGAGTGCTTCAAGATGGAGCACAACCAAGCAATTTCCTGAAGGGCCTTTGCAGGGAAGTGGAGTTGCTTGTGAGAGGAATTAGCCAAAACCTGACACATATAGAAACAGAGGTATGATGTTGTGTCAGTTCCTCTAATGTAAAACCCTGAAGATGCAGGAAAAAAAATCTTGGAAAATAATATTCATCTTCTCCACTTATTTCTAGCACTGGCAGATTAGGGCATCAGATAACAGACTGTACTAAACCATATCTTTTTGGACAACCAATAAACTTCTGCCTGCTTTTATTTGTAAGAAATATGTTTCCTCCTTTATGAATTTAACCTTGTTTTTAGTCACATACAGGTATATTCTTCTATTGGCAAGAAGTGCAGCCATAATATGCTGCTGTGGCTGTTATATGCAGGTCTCAAAACTATGCCTCTTGGGTTGTTAAAATGCGCTGTTCTTTGGTTTTCTGCTACTTTATTGGATGAGCAGTTCAAGACCATGCTGGATGCCATGACAGATGCATGCCCTTTAGGCAACAAGCCAATTTTAATTCTGTTGCATAGTTGGGTTCGCATGGGTTATTTAGGTAAAATATCCATGGAAAGGTTTGCAAAAGATCTGCAAGAAAATTTTATCAGAGGAATCTATTTCACATCTGATCGAATTGGGGAGGATGTTGGGTTTTCTAATTTAAAGTTTGATATGCAAGCCTGCACTATATTTAACACCATAGAATCTGAGCCGAGCCCTGCTGTAAAAGATAACAAGATGGTCTGGAACCCCTCATCTTCTCATTCCAAAACCAATGAGAAGCTTGAATCTGGTGGAATGACTCTTCATAAATTCTCCCCTCAAATGTGGAGCAATATTCTTTCGTTGTGAGACATCCTGCTGAGAATGGCATTGCCAAAAAAGTTTTGGCTCTAGAATCAAGACCAATGGATCATTTTGTGTGCTTTCACAAAGCTCTCATAAGAGATCTGGACTACATTGTCTTTCTTTCAGCTAACATGGCCAAAAGCTTTCAGTTTATCCCTGATTTACGTAGACATTTTGAACTTCTAAAGTTTCTGTATGACATTCACAGTGCTTCAGAGGATGAGGTTGTCTTTCCGGCTCTAGAATCAAAGGGGAAACTCAAAAACATTACCCAGTCTTACACCATTGACCATAAATTGGAGGAGGAAAACTTTGCCAAAGTTTCATCTCTGCTAAATGACATTGCCACCCTGCATGATGATCTAGACAAACCGGGTGAGGGAAGTCTACAATATCGACAGATGTGTTTGAAGCTCCATGAGACTTGCCTGTCTATGCAGAAAATAATCTCGGGGCATATTCATCGTGAAGAAATTCAACTTTGGCCTTTATTTGGAGAATACTTTTCCACTGAGGAACAAGAAAAGATGTTAGGGTGTATGCTTGGCAGAACTAGAGCTGAAACTCTACAAGAAATGATACCCTGGTTGATGTCAGCTTTAACCCAAGATGAACAACATGCCCTGATTTCTCTGTGGCGTAGGGCTACAAAAAATACCAATTTTGAACAATGGTTAGGAGAATGGTGGGAAGATATGAAAGATTATTGTGTTGCTAAGGATGAAGAAGAATCCTCTTTTCCTTCCTTGGCTGCTAACCCTCTGGAAGTTGTCTCAGTGTATCTGGGGAACAAACATGCAGAGAAAGCAAACTTTCAGGAAAAGAAGTTTCTGATAACAATGCTGAGCATTCTGGGTATATATGTCCATATTCAAAAGATTTCAAAGGCGGTCAAAACAATGATAAATATGAAGATCTAGTCAACTGTGGTGAAGAACTTGATAAGAAAACTGATCAGCAAATTGTTGATGATCAAGCTGATAAAGCTGGACAAAACATTCAGGCGTGCCATGATGAGCATCCACTGGAATTAAATCAAAAGGAGCTGGAAACTGCAATAAGAAGAGTGTCCCGTGATCCTACATTGGATTCTCAGAAGAAATCACATATCATCCAGAGCCTGATAATGAGGTAATCATGTGAAAGTTATCCTGTTTTCTCTGATCAACTGTTCTTGAGGGAATTATGGGACATCAAAAGTTAGGTCAACACGTATATATATCCTGTTTGTGATTGTGCATGTGATAAGAAATGATTATAGAATTAGATAGGTCTCAAGTTTATTATGCACATGTACTCTAGCATGTTTAGGCCCCTGAATATTTGTTGGGGGGAGGGGGGGGGCTGTGTTGCTGGTGGTGGTTTCCCTTTAAATAATTTTTACACCAAGAGGAAGGAAGATTTATGGTGGCGGCACAGGATGTGGTGTATACCTTCTACGATGATATAACTCAAAATTGTACTGAATGTCATAGACCTATTCAAAATAAGGGATATTAGGTGTACGATTTGCCACAGTACTGTTGGGGGGAGGGGGGGGGGTGTTGCTGGTGGTGGTTTCCCTTTAAATAATTTTTACACCAAGAGGAAGGAAGATTTATGGTGGCGGCACAGGATGTGGTGTATACCTTCTACGATGATATAACTCAAAATTGTACTGAATGTCATAGACCTATTCAAAATAAGGGATATTAGGTGTACGATTTGCCACAGTACTGTTAGGAAATTTGAACTAATAATCTCTGAAATATATCTTCATTTTATACCTTTTCTAACTTCCTTCCCTACATAGCTTTCTAAAAGCTTCCTTCATTTTAAGCATTGTCATTTTGTATCATACGGAGTAGGTTGGCAGCAAATTAATCACTAATACTGCCGTCAACAAGGAACTAGTCGTGCCTTCCCCATGCACAGGCAAGCGAAACATCAGACTGCTCGATAAGCACACAACTTTAAGTCTAATTTGTCTGGCAAACTACGAAGCTATATATCATTCGGTGGCTTCCTTAGCAAATTTGAGCACATATGCATGGCTTCTTCCTGCGATGTTAATATTCATCTGATTTTGTCCTGTGCAGTTTTGTCATCAGTTCTGCTAGCCAGCCAGCTACCATGCCATTGCCTTCCCATTGTGCTGAGCCTGGTCCATTGCAGGATTTCTGCATTATTGCTGATCTGAAATCTCCTTTGCACGTAAATGGCTTTCCCTGCAAAAACCCTGCTCATGTAACAACTTCAGACGACTTCTTCAGCGATGGTCTCAAGGAAATTAAGGGGAGCAATCTTCAATTCTCTCAAAGTGAAGTGATTCTCACTCAGGTGAATGTGCTTTCGTTCCCAGGCCTCCAAGTCCAAGACGGGTTGCTACAGTAAATTGGCTTTTTCTTATCTTATATACAAGTTAGATAATAATCCTACTATTCATGTCCAAGATGACCATCATCACTTCCTCCACACGTATCTTCATTTATTAACGAAGGTAATGATTAGTTAAATTTAAAATAATCATATCCCTTCCCAATAAATGAAAATACATGTATTACTATAAGCTTCTCTCTTGTAATATCAAGTATTAGCCATATACAAAATAGTGACGTTTAAAAAAAAAAAAATGATAGAATAAGCTTTCTCTTGCAGTGTGTGCAATTCCGTCAGCACCAAATATATATATATATATATATATATATGCACATACATAATCTTGTGAAGAAGTGTAGAAAATGGTATCCGAGGTGTAGGAATAAGATGAGAGCATGTACATAAATTATACTCGTCAAACTGGTTAAAAAAAACAAAGAGAAAGAAGCTACAGTCAGTACCATCTGGTGGAGGTTAACTCCATAGTTATTGACATAGAGAGAGCAAGAAGTAAGAACGAGAAGGAAACTTTTGTCTTTTTTCTGAAGATTAGAAGGCTGCTGATCGTCAGTCGCGACATTTGTAGTACTCCTTTTTCTTTTCTTTCTTTATATTCTTCTTAGAGTGAGGTATGGCAGAGGACTGACAAAGACATGAAGAATTGAGAAGAACCACGAATCGGCAGCATAGCAAAAGAAAATTGATCATATATATATACCACAACAATTTGTGAAAAGGACAAGTTCTTCGCCAATAGTGATAGTCCCGGATAATTAATACGTACTATATAGACTGAGGGGGCTGCTAATTAATGTCCCATTGTCATTCATAGCTTCCATAGTCAATGACACAAATCAGATATTTCATTCATCCCCTCCAAGAATAAAACTTCTATATCGACCCCCATAAACTATATATCAGCATCTACTCGTCAATTACCTTTTCCCTTCTTGTTTGATATATATATATATATATATATATATAGCACACCACAAAATTTGTAAACTTCGTTCACCTGTGTCTTGATCAGTGCCTCCTGATCATGCAATTAATAGTGAGGGCTGATCAACTTCAACAAGAATGTGTTTCCTTCCTTAGAAGGGAAAGGTAGAAGCGGAAGGCAAACTAATGAGTACTGTGACAACTAATTAATCCTGGTACGTAGTGGTAAAAAAGGATATGGTCACACCTTGAAATTAAATGAAAATTTTACTTTTGTATGGTCTTAATCAGAGTATTGGTTTCAATTCCACTTCTGTTGCTCTGTCACAATCAAAAACCTCATTATTAATTATCACGGATTCACAGTCTTAATCTTTAAACTGTTTGCCCCGTGACTCCAAAATCTTAAATATGTTGTTCCATCACTGAGTCACAATCTGAAATAGTTTTCATCCCTTTCTGATTTACTTTCTACTTAATTATCAAATAGTTTTGACCCATATATAGCCAGCTCCAGTAATTGGAAAAACCAGGAGGAGCCATGCATATAGTACTATATAGCATAGCATTAACCCGTAGGGTAGAACTATGTATTATGGCTGGCAGGTGCAGGTCATTCATCACATTCGCCCGCACGTACACGTATTTTTGAGAGCTGTGCCAAGTCGATACTATGACTATGTCCACTCTTGCTCAATGTTTTAAAAATCGGACCGTTCATTGAACCGGTGAAGTGAAAAGGTCGAGGTTCAACCGGTCGGATCGGTTCAACCTCGGTTCAATGAATTTTTTAAAAAATTATTTATATAAATATATATATGTACAAAATAAGACATGTAATGGATTAATTTAATACTTTATATGATGAAAGGTTTAATAAATAAAAATATGTTCTTTTTTTTAATGCAATATGGCCTCAATAAGGGCATTTTCGACATTAAGGGGGGTTTTTGTTAAATGTTTGATCATTCAAAGGGTGAGACTGTTATTTGGACAAATTACAGGGATTGATTGGCAATATGATCAAACCTCAGGGGAGGTAAATGTATCAAACCTCAGGGGAGGTAAATGTAATTAACCCTTAATATATATTAGCATCCTTTACATAGTTTATATAGCAGTGACTTGTTAGGTCTCATGCAAAGAAGATTAAGAGTAACACATGCCCTTTTGATGTAAAGCACACTCATTCCATCCATCTTCAACTTCAAGAAAAAAGAAAAAAGGTACAAACTTCACAACAAATATATCCACATTTTTCATGTGGTGAGACGAGGATTATTTCATGACTAGGAACATCTGACTCCTCGGATGTTTTATTTTATCCATCTGCAGATGGTTTATACATTGCAAAGAAAAGACCAGACTTTAGGGTGAATGATATCAGAGTATCATTCTTGTTTGGTAGATGATAAGAAGCGACGGGGATTAATTATTTGGAGCTTATGGAATCAGCACAGAAGCCCTGGACTTGATGAGGTCGATGATAGTTTTATTCACATTGAATGCTGTTGTGAGCACTGGATCTGGAATCAAAGGCGTGGAAGCAAAGAGAGCGGGGGCTATTTTCGAAATCCCTGGATTCTGACTGTTAAAGAAGGCATAAAATAGTGCGTTTCCCTTTCCAACATTAAGCTGAAAGTGCACTAAGCCTGGAGGAATCACGAACACTTGTCCTGCCGTCAGAATTTTCCAGTTCAGGGTATATGCAGTTGATACCCATCCCACAAACAGTTTCCCCTCCGTGACCAGGGACAACTCGGTAGCACGAGGGTGGATATGAGGCGGGTTTTCTCCTCCGGGATGAAATTGAACTCGGTTCATGGACATCCCCAAGGTGTTCAGCGCTGGAAATGCGAAGACGTCTACTTCGGTGAGGTTCACATTGAGGGCATCGAACACTGTTCCCAGTTTTTGCAGCCCATCAAAGAAGAAGTCGTTGGAAGTTACATTCGCTGGGTTTTTGCACGGAAACCCATTGACAAGCACCGGGGAGTTCAAATCCGCAGC